AACCTCCCTTCTAAATTCCATGTTTTGCTTATATTTTAGAGAAAAGGGACTTTGACTGGGGGGGCCAAAATGGTTGAGTGGGGGGGCCACCATGGGGCTGGGGGGGCTTTGGCCCCCCCAGTTATATAGTTAAAAAATGCCCTGCGATGTGCGGGATGACTTGGTGCTGCGTGTACGTTTAGAACTAGTCGAACCTGTTTTGGTGGCAAGGCGACTTTGTTGGCTTTTTGCTTTGTTCATTGCGGTAGAAGCGTATTTTAAAGCGGTTTGGGCATATTCTGTTACTTCAGTAATATGGGTACGGGCTTCACCCCACTTGGCTTGTTCTGAAAGTGTCTCAATGTCTTTGAGTATTGCTTGGTACTTGGTGTAAGCTTGTTGTAATGGTGCAAGGACCGTTTCTATCTCTTTATCCGTAATATTTTTCTCCAATGCGGTCAAGACAGTATCTGATGACATATATAATGATTTTGCTGCTTTATTTAGTTCAGTGCTTTTATTTTGTATTGCATTGTGAATTGCTTTTTGCGACAAAATTCGTTGTCGTTTCTCCTCATTAACTGATTCTAGGGCATCTGAAGTAGACAAATCAATTTCTCCCTCCTGTTGGTGAACCAATGGGTTCGTAGAAGTCTCCTTAGATTTGTGTTCTTCAGAATCTATAGCTAGTACATTAACACTAGTATCCCCAGACCCCTTGGGGTTCTCCACGGTTGATCGACTGCTATTACAACTCATCTACACAAATTTCTCCACTTGCACTTACTATTTTCGTTGTTAAATACTCTCCAAAGGCGATTAAAACTTTCACTGTCGCGTTCCCAATTCGAGCACCTCGTGGGAAGAGTCGAATAGGAGTTCGTTTAGTGTTCAACCACGCAATAGAAGACAACTTTACACTTTAACTTTTAATATTATTCGTAGAAATGACATACACATTTACGTAAACACATATAGTCCTCAAATGCGCGGTGAAACTACATAAAAATAAAGGAAAAATACACACTATAACACACGAAAGGTAGACGATCAGTTCAATGTCAAAAGTCTGACGACTTACGTTTATAATGTCCCCAAAATTTAACAGGAAGATACATTAAAAGCGTCTCTAAAATATAGCTTGTCTCTATAAAATACAACGTTCCAAAAACGTTATTCCCGTTACTAAGGCAACCAAACCGCGCGAGTCCTGGGCCCCACCGTCCATATATCGACGACAATTCCCGACAACCCGACTCACGCCACGTACTTCTCCGAGTCAACATCACATAAACTGTTGTCCAGCTAAACAACATAAGGGTCCTAGTGTTCTAATTACACAACATGCTGTTGCCCAGTGGTCACCATGTGGAGGTTCTCAGTCTTGACCACCAAAAATGTTTAATGTTTATCAAAGTCTTAAGTCTGTAATAATTTTCAAATGCAAAAAGTTTGTATCTTTGATAGAGTTTTATGTATAATAATTTTCACAGTTTAATAGTTCAATAAAAATACTAACTGAATATTGGTGTAAGCTTTTTTATATTGTGCTCTCAGCCGTTGGAAAAAGAGTATTGAGACCAGCTTTCAGGCAAACATACAAGTAAGTTCACATCTGTATCGATACATTATAAAATCGTGGAATATTTGGATCCACCGATCCAATATGTAAACAAGACTTGTCGCAAAAGCGATTGCAAATACACCACAATCTGAATCATTTGACTGTTGCTGTCTTCGTGAGATTTTGCATGTTCAGACAAAGGAATCTCATGAATAATTACTTTTTCTGCCTCGCTGTTTACGTTTTGTTCCGAATCGCTGGCCGCCATGTTGGAACTTCACTCCACCAACATGGCGGCGTATAAAATTAATTTATGCCGTGACGTCATGTGAAAACACACTATAGTGCGTGCATCCGGTATGTTTGAAATGAAAAACTCAAAGAACTTTCAGTGTTAGATCAATATAAAGACTGGATCAACAACACAACACCTCTGAACATCAGGAATCCGAGGAAACGTACAAAGTGAGTGCCCCAGTCATAATTATTACTATTTGGTCGGTGTTTAAAAATAAAGCAATAAAATATTTGACAAATACCGTGTTTATTTTACTAATGATATAATACTTCCTATAGACAAACTGACGTCCATATGCTGTGTAGGAAGTTTTTACATTGTAGGGATTCGTCGTGAATTTTGAGGACGTTATGAGGAAAATGAAACGATAAGGATTATTAGAAATACTAAAATTTACATAGAGAATAATTTTTACACAATACACTATAATTGAAAGCTGCGTTATTAATAATTTAATAATTTGGACGATCTCCAAAACCCAGCCTTGGATTCACGAAGAATTTATAAAATATTGAACATGATTTGGTAAAGTTCTCCGGATTAAAAATTACTTTTAGCAAATCACAATATGCCTGGATTACAAATCTTCAAACAATATACGATATACGTAATTAACTAATCAAATTAGATTCACGATGATGCACTGATTTCATATTCGATTTGCGATTAATGGGATATTATGCGAGATCGGGACGGAGGTTTAATATCAATCTAACTCACATTTATAAGAGCACGAAATATTTTAAGAAAGCATTCTCCATGCATGGCTATCAGCTGCACATGCTTTTTTGGATGTCATATTTGTTTAATTTGGCCTGAGTATAGCTGTGGTTATTCATGATTATAGGTTATTGCACTTTTGCTGTTGGGTTGACAAGCACGTATGCAGGTCATTAAAGATTCATTACCAGTTATTTTAGGCCCCTGAACTGATATTGTGATAATGATGTTTTTTTGTAAATAATTAAAATATAGGTGGTATAGCTAGCTTTTGTGATACGGGTAGTAAATGCAAATCTATCACTTTCATTATCCCATGGCTTTATCCTTACCTCGGTCGATATTTCTCAGTACAGACCTCGCGTTTTGTTAATAAGAAGTTATTAATGATAAAAAATATGTGTACTTGAAATCCACTTTGAAGCAAAATGCAGTTTCTTTTATGAAACATACTTTAAATTAATGAATTGATTCAAATCATTGTCAAGACATACATCCTGTTTATTTTAAAATATCTTGTGACAGCCAAGACATCGTGTCTATTGAATAATAATAGCCAAGACATCCTGTCTGTTTTAAAATATCCTGTGTTGAATGACTGTCGACTAGAATTCTTGATCTTTTATGGTTTCGAATAAGGATTCTGGAAAATTTGTATTTAAACTAACAGCAGTATTTTTCCTTTTCCAGGATTCTAACGTCTTGAAGGATTTGGATTTTGTAAATCAAAATTTCGCATACAAACTACTTCGATCAGCAAGACATAGAATAAAAGGTAATTAAACCCGTATTTATTTCTTATACGTATACTAAAACTGTCAGTATACCAGTTAGGGTAGTACCAATGTGAAAATGCTATGCTGAGTGGTTATATTACTACCTTAAAAAATAAGCAGAAACTCGACGTTTCGAGCGAAGGACCTTCGTCACTAACTCTTGACGAAGGGCCTTCGCTCGAAACGTCGAGTTTCTGCTTATTTTTTAAGATATAATATATCTTATAAGGCTTATTTTATAAAACGTTGAATTTCCGTCGAATTGAATTTAATAAATAAATGTAATGCTCCCGAGATTTACTCGACGGAATGTCGAAATACATTTTTGTCAATACACCCTTTCGATAATATTAATTACTTCGCACATATACATTTTGGTCTTGGAGCCTGGTTCTCATTAGTAAATTACGCAAGGTGATTGGCTCACGATTCATGAGAGCAAGCCTCCCAGGTCAAATGACGTAATTATTGAAAGGGTGTATTATGCCATGAACGAAACGCATCAGATACTTCGACAATTCAATGAATTGAATTGGACGTACAAAGTAGGTCCATATACAACTAAAAATCCACCCGAATGTACTTTTTCTTGCAAATCGAATACGTTTTTCGCCAGCTGCAGTGTTGACAGCTTTGATGTATCTGCCGCAGGGACTGTTACGTTTGCCGGATTTCTGCACATCAAGATGCATCATTCGTTTGACGGATGATACGTTCTGGTATAACGACGGATGATCCGTCGGAACAAACATGACCTAGCTGGTTAAAGAAACGACAGTTCATCTCATAATTTGCAGTCTATGACTCTATGACTATTTAGTATAAATTCAGTATTGAAAAATGACTTTCAAGCGTTATATTGGCTCCATCAGCAGTAACTCTCAGGCAATAGTGACTGCTCAGACTGTTCTGAGCAGGAACTATTGCTTTCCAAACAAAATGGCTACCGAACATCCACTTGAAAAAAATCATAGAAGAAAATTAAAAGAACATACTGTTCCTCTAAAACAAAACAAGCAACAATAATTAGATGGTGTTAACCTAGCTATTTCCGAAAGACAAAAACACGTACCTTTTAGATGCCTAAAACAATTTATTTGGCAATTTAAAACCGGAAAATAAAAGAATGGCGGGCGACAAGGTTCCGGCAGTTGCATTCGTTTCAGCCAAAAGCGGAAGAATGAAGTAAATTATATTTATAACATATATTATTATTTTTCGAAGCTGAATTGAATTTATAATAAAACAATTAGTTGCCTCAGGTTCGGTGATCCCAAGACTATATTCACTTCGCTGCTTCGCAGCTCAGTGAATATAGATTTGTAATTTAAGGAGTTTGACTAATGGTCGCGGGTCGCGTGTTGCGGGTAAAAAGTCGCGTGTCGCGGGTAGAATGTCGCGGGTCGCGGGTAAAATGTCGCGGGTAAAAAGTCGCGGGTCGTAAAAAAGCTCCAAACCGTGTATTTTATTGAGGCGCGGGTTGAATAAAGTGTGTAAAAATCACGTTATCATTTAGTAAACAATTATATAGGATTGCTTCAATACGAAATATTGCCCAAGAGCCTTTTGTCACGATTTAATGAGTTTGACTAATGGGCGCGTGTCGCGGGTACTGAATGTCGCGGGTAAAATGTCGCGGGTAAAAAGTCGCGGTTCGTAAAAGAGCTCCAAACCGTGTATTTTATTGAGTCGCGGGTTGAATAAAGTGTGTAAAAATTAAATCACGTTGCCATTTAGTAAACAACTATATAGGATTGCTTCAATACGAAATATTGCCCAAGAGCCTTTTGTCATGATTTAATGAGTTTGACTAATGGGCGCGTGTCGCGGGTACTGAATGTCGCGGGTAAAATGTCGCGGGTAAAAAGTCGCGGGTCGTAAAAGAGCTCCAAACCGTGTATTTTATTGAGTCGCGGGTTGAATAAAGTGTGTAAAAATTAAATCACGTTGTCATTTAGTAAACAACTATATAGGATTGCTTCAATACGAAATATTGCCCAAGAGCCTTTTGTCATGATTTAATTGTTCTATATAAACGTGCCAGAAGCCTAAAACTTGAAAGAATAATTTCAATTATACCATGACAAAAATCCTCTAATCAAAAAATATGTTCTGAAAGAGACAAACAAGACTTTGGTAGAAATAAATTCAGTTTACCACTACTATTACAATCAGCCTATACCAATTTAAAAACAACCATATAGTATCACAAATATATCCATGCTAGGACATTATAAAAGTACATTATGATTCACCAACAACCAGGATATTTAAGTCGCTGTTCTCTAGCACTTGTTTCTGGAAAGTACTGATCGATGCGCAGAAGCTTGACGACAACGCGCACTGAGCCACTGAATAGCGAATTTTTACGCCTGATATGGTAGAAATTGGATGGTAATAT